CGCCCTTTTGACTTTTCACTTGAAACATTGTTCATTATAAACTCTGAATTCATGGAGATTTTGTTCTGGTAAATACAAAAGTAAGTTCTTTTATAGGATTATATATTGATTAAGAATTTTGGAAAGAAATTCCTGGGAAGCTGGAACATTATCATATGAAAAACTAGGATTACCTTTATAAAATTGGAATGTTTGGTCAATTTAATTCTCTTGGATTTGCTCTTCATTCATAGAATATTTTATGGGGGTATTTCCAATGTTTCTAAAGAGGCATTTTCACTATAAACAAGGTAACTGAGTCAGTGCTGTTCATTTTGATCTGAAGAAACCTATAAGGGTTTTAAACTTGGGTACTGACTTTAAACACTCTAAATCCATGTTTAGGTACCAAAATAAATTATTCATGAGTTTTAGACATAATGGCCACATCCAGATGAGCACGAACATGTGAGATGTGGCACTTCAGACCCATCTGCAATGTCATACACTGCACATGCAGGATTTCCAGGCACTGCTACCTTACAGCGAGGGTTTTTTTTTCACACTCAAAAAAGTGGGGCGGCACACATGGCGGCAGCACATGATGCCCAAAACCAGAACCTGGCCAGCCAGAGCCATGCTTCAGCTGCCAGCCAGGCTTCCTGCCATGGCTGCTGCTCCAGTAGGCCCCCAGGACCTCAGGTAAGGCTGTTGGGGCCAGCACAGTTGCTGGCCCCAGCCTCCCATTCCCCACCCGGAGTAACCTGTCATTCACCAGAGCATACATGTCACAGGTGTCCCCTGGGGACATGTAGCAGTAGCACAAGGTGTGCCACTGCTACTTGTCCCTCTGGAAACAAATGTCTGCACTCCTGTAGATGCAGCCAATGATTGCAACTGCCATTTTGACATTAGCTGTTCAACAGTAAAAAGTAGCTGTGAAAGAAGAGACATTTGTTGGAATATACTTTTGGAGTCAACCTCCAAAAGAAAAAAGATTTCATTAATCTTGTTTCCTTGAAAGCAGTGTTCATATCATACAAACTATTAATAGAAATCTCAAACAAGAAAATGTGTTAATGAAGAATTTAGGAGGAATATTTATGTGGAACATTTCAAGGAAATCTACCTAACTTCTCCCACCCCCCAAATATTACACTAGTTTTTTGGGGTTGTATTTTTTTACAGTTTTACATTAGACAACAAATAAACAAGCTCTACAATGTCTGGGCATGACAAATTCCAGATTCCAGCATTTGGGTATCTTCTGGTTTTATGCATGCACAGCATAGGTGTGAGCTTTGGGGTGGACAGGATTTATTGGATTTATTTATTTATTATTTACAGCCCTTCTCTGTTAGATCCCCTGATGCCCAAAGTGGACTTACCATAGGTTTCAAAAGGCATGTTAATATATGTGTGTTTGTACATTTATGTCATGACTAAGGCTAAGTACAGACATTCGAAAATCCCAAGGTGGAATCAATCAAACCTATGGGGGTCTGAACAGAAGCAAAAAAACCCATACATTCACCCTTGCTGTGGGGAAGAGGAGGGTATGCAGGCTGCCTGCACTGGCCAAGGCCAGCAGGCTGGGGGTGCTCCCACACATCTGCCAGCATACCTCATGGGGTGCCAGAGAATGACAAGCACAGCCGAGTACCTGGGCCACCCCTGATTGGATGCTGGGCATGGGAGAGCATGCTCCCAACTCCCTGCTGCATCATCATGGACCCTCCCCTGCACCCAGTCCTAGGCTTCCAGGACAGCCCTAGAACGGGTCACCATGGCATGCCTGGCAGCCCAGTCACAAGCTGCAGGAGGGAGTGCTCCACAGAAGGAAGGATCAGGCTCCTCAGAGCCCCGGCACCAGTGGCAGAACAAGCATAGGGGGCTCACACCAGGTAGCCCCCTGCTCCCTGGTTTCCTGCCAGTAGCCACTACTCCTGCCAGAGCCCTGAGGGGCCTGATCCTTCCCCTTATGGAGCCCCCCCCCCCCCCTCCCAATCACCAGCTGGGCTGTCGTGGTCACACTGCAGCTACCTCAAACCATCCTTCTTCCCAGTAGTAACTGAATATGTTTTAAGGCATTCTGCCAGTAAAATGTAAATGCAGCTTGTCTACATATACTCAGATGAATACATATAATTTCTTACTTTCTAACATGTCACACAACATATAAATTAATGTAAATGTTAGAATAAATTCTTTTTTAATTAGTTATCTTTATTTTCCACTCACAGTTGGCCAAAGGCAGAGACAGGATTGTATCATTTTAAGCATAGGTTAGAAAAAAACTTGTATAGTAAAGTTTATCTTGTTTTAAGCAGAGGGTTGCACTAGATTCCTTTCTGAGGTCTTCTCCAGCTCTATTTTTTCTATGCTTCTATGCATATCCATATAAATTTACAAGATAAATATTAATTATTTTTGTCTCTTCTAGTGTCTAACATTGGACCATAGATGCTGATATTAAAGAAATACAGGGATTTTAATAGGAAAAAAATCTTAAGCATGAGTCCTTTTCTTTTTATGTAAAAGAATAAATTAACTGTTACTTCTATTTTCAGAATGAAGAGGGTTTTTTTTTTTTACTTCTATTTTTTCAGACTGAGTTCAAAATAAAGAGGATCTCTAGTTAGGAACAGCCATTGCATTTGTTCTGGGACAAGCTGTACCTCTAGCCCAGATGAGAAAACTCCCAAGATTGGCATATAGAATATCACCCTTCCAGTAAAGGTTTACTGAGAGGCTGAATGAACTGCTGCTTTTCAGTCATTGGTGCAATGATACAAATCTGGGACAACTTTTTGGAACCACTTCACGATGTTCTGGGACAGTCTGTTAGCACTTACTTCTTATCCTGTGAGCCTTTTTCAAGTTTGTCCTGGGATAACAGACATATACATCTGAATGATCACATTTTTTCCTGGGAAAAAGTGTTTTTTTCCAGGACAATTGTAACATCTGTTTGTAGCCTCTGTGGATCCTTTTTAGTATCCCTTCCCTTATCCAAGGTATTCCTTAGCACATATTGGTCACATCTACATGTGAAAATAATATGGGATCGGTTTATTCTAGAGTAAACTACTCAAGAGTAAACTGTCCCAGGCGCACACCTACACATGCAGGGACACAGGAGCAGATTTGCTGCTTCTAGGAGCAGACTGCTCACACTCCCTCCAGCCCTGCACCAGCCCCCTGAAGCAGCCAGGGGAGCTCTAGACTCCCTCTGGGTGCTAGCCCAGGGGCTGCCAGGGAGCACAGGGCCAGGAGAAAACTGACTCCTGGTCAGGGCTAGGACATTGCTCCCTGCTCCTGGGAGGTGACTGCTGCTGAGGCGGGCTCCAGCACTGAAGCCCAGGCAGGGACAATGTCCCCCTGCCTTGGCAGCAGGGGGCTCTGAGTCCCACTCTGTGATCATCTCCCAGCCTAGGCCCCATGACTGCCCCGGTTACTTCTGTGATCTTCCAGCCCCGGGCCCCTGATGAGGAAGCAGGGCCAGGGGCTCTCTGTTGCTGGGGCAGGGGGAAATTGTCCCTGCCCAAGCTCTGGTGCTGGAGTCCGTTCCAGCAGCAGGCAGCTCCCAGGGGCAGGGAGCAATGTCCCAGGCCTGACCAGGAGATATCTGTCTCCTGGCCCAATGCTCCTGAGCAATATCTCACCTCCTGCTGCCCGGCTTACCAGGAGCACATTTGCTCCTGGTCAGCTGTCTTCACATGCTGGACTGTGCAGTAAGTAATTGAGAGTAAATTTGCTACTTGTATTTACAGATAACAAATTTACTTGCAATTAGAGCAAATGACCCTAGAGTAAGTGTCTCCACATGAAGACAGTGACACTTACTGCACAGTAATTAGGTCTAATCTTAAGTAAAATTGTTTTGTGTAGATGCACCCACTGAGGGTGAAAGTTAAGCAGAAGTGTATAGTCTTTTGTTTCCCATTGTGCTAATAATCATTCTGGTTCATGGATTCTACATACATTAGGCCAAAGCAGAGATAAATGCTCTGCTTTACAGAGTGTATGTCTTAAACTATTCAGGTACAGTATTACATTTCTATTTCTGCTTGTTTGTATTTGCCCTTATTCCTGTTACTTGTAGATATGATTCAGGCTTTGGTTTTAAACAGGCATTTTCATACACATTCAGGGAAACTATGACTTTTAACTGTTTGTAAATGTTAGTTGAATACTAGTGCATTTACATAACCAGAGATGAGAAGGATCTGAATGGTAACTAGATGGTAGCTACAGGGAGGAAAATAGAGGGAATCTACAGAAGGCATGGAGAGTGGAGCCCAGGGGATCAGGAGAAGCAAGTCCTGGGAATGAAGGAATGGAGTGACATGAATGATGATCTCTAGGATAGGTGGGAGGGAGGACTGCATGTAAGAACATGTATAAAGAGAAGGATGTGCAAGGGTCTTTGAGTATAGAGTGAAAAATATCCCTGATACCTGTCATAATAGGAGGAAACATTCCTTCCCAGCTTTATGTGGCAATCAACAAAGCCCAGCTGCATGGGAGAAAAACATAACTTTCATTATGTTCACCCTAACTGAAGAACCAGAACTCCTCTTTGTCATCCTATCTCCTCCAAATACTTATCTCAACTCCTTTATTTTCTTTCATAACTAAATTGATTATTGAGCTCAGCTTCATTATACTGCTGCTGAGCATGATCCTCTCTAATTTCTACATGTTCTGGGATGCAGAGTTCTTCTCATGAGTGTCCCCTCCCCAAGGACCACTGGGAGATCCTGGGCTTCCCCTTGTTACTCATCACAGCACAATGCAAGTATTGCTACTTGTAGATCATTCCTGTTTCTAGCATGTGCCTCTAAAGCCTCTAAATTCTGGTTACTCTTAGAGATGGGATACTAAAAGAGATGGACCTTAGACCCAGTACAGTATGGCATATCTGTGTATTCATCCGGGGTTTAATTCAACTCCCATTTAAACCAATAGATTTTTTGTTGACTTTACTGGTGGTTGGAGTAAGTTCTCATTGTGTCGCTGTGAAACTAATTTAGTTGAACATTGTAATGGTCACTTTCTCACAACCCTTGGCATCATGGGGATGGAAAGTCTGCTCCTACTTCGTGTTTTCAGGTCAGTAGGGTAAGTGGAAGTACCTGCAATAGGTGAAACATTATGGAGAAAGCAGGAGAAAGCAATCTATTAGTAATAGATTTGTCCTAGATCTGATACATTGTGTCAGTGGGAAGTTTTTCATACACACATAAGTGTTGTGGGAGACTTGTCCATAACACTTGTAAAATAAAGCTAGAACAAAAGAGAAAATTAAAAAAATGGTGAGGACGGTGCTCTTAAAAGTCAGTATTCACATTAGGTGTGGATTCTATTCTGCCTTGCTTTGATTTAAAGTAACTTGTGCCTTAAGAGAAACTGGCAAAATTATTTTTTATTTATTTATGGTGAGGTTAAAACAGATACTGGTCATTTTGACCTTTTAAAATGCTTATTTGAGATAATTTACAAAGAAAGATTCCTCAAGTTTTTTTTCACATTTTAGTTCCCGTTCTCCTCCTCCCTCCCCCACCATTCTTCTTAATCCATAATTATTTATCTGAAATTTCTCCATATAAGCATTTCAACCTGACGCTGGGATTCAGACAAACTGGAATTTATATTCTCGAGGTTTTCTCATCATGAAATCCCTGAGAAATCTTTGACTCTTGGCAACACACTCCAAATAATGCTTGAAAGCAGAATTTGGCCCAATATCTATCGATTATTTGTAAAAATCTCTTACTGTCAAAAGAATTGTTTTATACAGTTACAATATTGTGCACCCTTTTTGCCATTATACATGTAATCAGTCTGAAAAAAAAGTTCAATATTCACCTTCTTTTTCATACAAATTGTAGTAAAGGCTCTCAGATGTACCTAACAACAAAAAGGGGAAAACAATTATACACAATGGCCTGGTCTCCCTCGGGCTATGCTGTTGATATAGCTATTTATCATTGGAAAGTACTCAGTCATGAATTTGACTTAAATGAAAGAAGCAAAATGTTTGGGCTACATGTTGCCTTCACTGAAGTTAAAGGGGTTTTATGGCAGAATTTTGCTTCTGCTCACCTATGCAGCATTGATACGCTGTGCTCTATTCACATGCTAGCACTGGACTATAAATAGACAAAGAGAAATGGCCTCTCAGTTTTAAGAACCCAAGTGACAGGCGTTGTGACCTCTTGACTGCATGCATTACAGTTATGGGCAACCGGAGTAGTGCCAGGTGGGGATTACACAAGGCAGAGCAGCATCTGCTCCACTATCATGAGTGTAAATGATAGTTCCTCATGTTATGCCATAAACAGCCTGAGGTAAGAAAGGCTGATAGAGTTCCTGTCACAAATTAAACCCTTGCCAGCAGGTAGGATTCCAGTCCATCTGTCCACGACAGCAGCTCAAACAGAACAAAAAATGCTTTCTAAAATATTATCCACAGAGATAAAAGGCAAATAATGCAATTTATGTCTCTGCTGCCGCCAGAAATGAAAGCAGAGCTAACTAGAAAGGAAGGCTTATTTTTTCAGTGCTGAATAAAAGCTATGTTACATAATCACTTTCTGGTGCTGAGGGCCATATTTTCAAAGGTGTATTTCTGTGACAGTGGCTTGCACATATGCACAAAGCCACACACAACTGCACAAGTCAGGCATATGCAATCTGGGCCTTTGAAAATGTAATCTTAAATGCTTACTCTATTTACCTTTCTCTTTTTTTTGCCTTTATTTTAATGTAATAATGCACAACGTGAATGAAGCACTAGTAAGCACAGTAATGCAAACTGTTTTGTTTTAAATAATCTCCTCAGAGACCTGATTCAGTGCCCAGTGAAATAACTGGAAGCCCAAGGGGCTCTGAATCAGGCTTTGTGAGCTAGATCCCTCATGAGTATGCTTGATAAATTCTATAGACCTAATTCAGCTATCTACTATGGGTGAGTAACTTTTGTTTTTCATTCATACCAGTTCCAAATACCTTTCTGTGCAGACAATGTTCACAAGTTTTCCCATGTGTATGCACTGCATAGGTTGACTTTTCTTTGTAGAATTATGTGGATGGTGGGGGGTATTTACTACATAGGATTTGTGAACCTATCTCAGTAGGAGCCGAATGTCCTCAACTCTCAGTGGCTTTCTATTCCCATTTATGCTCAGCCCTTTGCAGTATCAGGCAAAACAACATGTTGCTATGAGCACATTCAAATATACTGAATGTTAACATTTTACTCTCTAAGGATTATCCCATTTTTTCTGAATATTTTATATTAGAATGAGCAAGAAAAATCATATACATTTGGAAATAGATTTCCAAAACATTAATTTTTGAAAGAAAGCAAGAATGTAACACTGAAAACAATGCTTTAAAAACTAAGTAAAATATTCAGAATTGTTTTAGGCAATAGAGGCAATGCCTTCATGAAAATCAGAAGGACATAGGGTCTGATTTCAAGGTATTTAGGAGCCTAAAGATGCAAGTAGGTGGCTAATAGGATTTTCAAATATTACCTGAGTGCTTCATTCCCACTGAGGACTGTAAATACTTTACAAATCTGGCCCCTCATAGTCATATAAATGACTCTGAAAACTGTAATCTCCTAAATCACTTAGGGAGCTTTATAAATTACCTGACACCACCTTAAAAAATGTTTAACATACATTTCTTGCCAACCTATACAGTTTAAATAACTTTATAAATATGTCTCCTAATATAATATGCCTTATACACCGCTGTTTTAAAATAAATATAATTTCTGTGATATTTTGGTTAATAAAAATCCACTGTGCCTTGATTCATTCCACCTATTATTTTACAAAATATTTAAAAACCATAGATACACATATAGGTTTTTAAAACTGTAAAGTATATTCAATTTTATGCTCATTGTGTTCTCCTCTAAGACATTACTAAGGAACACCTAAGTGAAATGCACTTTATGTGCTTTTAAGCTAATTATGAATTAAGGAAGTGCATCTCTGTTTCCTGACTAAGAGGAAGCACTATAGGAGAGAGATTCTAACTCCTCAGAGAGTTATCTTCTGTGTATAATGGCTTTTTCCTAGTACAAGCAATGTTGCTCATCTGTAAGATACAGTATAGTAAAATGGTCGGTCTCAAGTTCTGATTAAATTATTATAGAACTGGCACTGCCCAACCAGTCAAAACATACACTTCAGTTTAAGTAAAGAGATTGGAGGTTAACAATAGGAGGTTAACAATTGGAGGATAACAATAGGATCAGATTAGCAAAATAGAGTAAGGACAGAGTACTGAAGGGCCAGGGAAAATGGGCACATAATACCAGAGAGGCTCTGAGCATTAGATCTGAAGAAAATTAAATAGTGGGGAAGTCAATGACATTCAAGCAGATAGTTCTACATGATAAAATGGCAGAAAGGACCAGGAAAATACAAGAAAGGAAAAGATAATACATTAAAATAAATCAAACATGATGCTATTTTAACTTTTATATAAGAACCTGAAACCCTGCAATGAATATACTAACACAAATGTGCAATAAAATTATCATTTTTTTTCAATATTTTACTAATTATGTTGCTAGTAGTGTGAGTGCACTTGATTTTACAGTTCCTTGGTACCATATTGCCCTACTATTGATCAATCACTGCCTTTATAACAGATATAATAGTTATCCTAAGATACCTGCCAACATCTAAGCTAACATGCAGTAGCCATACTTTCAAGGTCTCACAGATCATATTTGCAGTAACTGCTGTATTGTAATTTATTTCCCTCCAAAATATCAGAGGGAAAGAAAGAAGCTAGTAGAAATGTTTGGTTCTTTTCATGTTTTCAAAGCATGCTTTTATAATAGAAATATGCAGAAAAGCAATATTGTTTCAGAAGTAAACTACCCACTATTTAACATGTTTTCTTTGGATTTTCTTTATATATATTACTGTAAATGACCTGACAAAGACCAGGTGGAGAGAAAAAAGAATTAGGCAACACATATGACAAACCTTTCAAGTTTGAGCGGCTTAACACAGCCTACTCATCTCATAGATTTCATAGACATTAGGGCTGGAAGGGACCTCGGAAGATCATCGAGTTCAGCCCCCTGCCCGAAGGGCAGAAAGTCAGCTGGGGTCATAGGATCCCAGCAAGATAAGCATCCAATTTACTCTTGAAGGTGTTCAATGTAGGTGCTTGAACCACCTCCGATGGCAGGCTATTCCAGACTTTGGGGGCTCGGACAGCAAAAAAGTTCTTCCTTATGTCCAGCCTGAAATGGTCTTGCAGTAGTTTATAACCATGTGACCTCATCATCCCTTGGGGCACTCTGGTGAACAAACATTCCCCCAGATACTGGTGGTCACCCCTGATAAACTTATAGGTGGCCATCAGATCACCCCTGAGCCTGCGCTTTTCCAGGCTGAAGAGCCCCATAGCTCTCAGCCTGTCGTCGTAAGGTTTGTTTTCCTGACCTCTGATCATGCGCGTGGCTCTTCTCTGGACTCTCTCAAGCTTCTCCACATCCTTTTTGAATTGTGGGGCCCAAAACTGGACACAGTACTCCAGCTGCGGCCTCACCAAGGCCGAGTACAAGGGGAGAATGACGTCCTGGAATTTGCTTGAGAATCATCTATGGATGCAAGCCAGCGTTTTGGTCGCTTTACTAGCTGCAGCATTGCATTGAAGGCTCATGTTCATATTGTGGTCAATGATGACCCCCAAGTCTCTTTCTTCCATAGTGCTAGCCAGCATGTCACTGCTGAGCCTATAAGGATGCTGCAGGTTTTTCCTCCTGAGGTGGAGAACCTTACATTTTTCAGTGTTAAACACCATCAGGTTCTCATCTGCCCATTTGCTGAGCCTGTCCAGGTCAGCCTGGATCGCCCTCCTGTCTTCAGGTGTGGATGCTTTTCCCCAAAGTTTGGTGTCATCGGCGAACTTGGCCAGTCCACTTCTGACACCAGTGTCCACATCATTAATGAAGATGTTGAACAGTATGGGTCCAAGGACAGAGCCTTGGGGAACCCCACTGGTCACAGGGCACCATGACGATTGACTTCCATCAATTACCACCCTCTGGGTCTGACCATGGAGCCAATTTCCCAGCCAGCAGATTGTGGTGGACCCAAGGCCACGATTGGCCATTTTTGCCAAGAGGTGATCATGGGATACCAGATTGAAGGCTTTTTTGAAGTCAAGATATATGACATCAATTTCTTCTCCCTTGTCCAGGTGATAGGTCACCTGGTCATAAAAGGAAATGAGATTGGTCAAGTAAGACCTACTCACAACAAACCTGTGCTGGCTATTGCTCAGGATGTTGACATCGGCCAGTCCATTAAGGATGGCCTCTTTAATAAACTTTTCTAAGACCTTCACCAGGATAGAGGTCAGGCTGATGGGCCTATAGTTTGCCGGATCCACTTTCCTCTCTTTCTTGAAGATAGGCATCACATTGGCCTTCTTCTAGTCTTCAGGAACTACACCAGAGCACCAGGAGTTCTCAAAGTTCCGTGCCAGAGGCTGGGCTATGTTGTTCACCAGCTCCTTGAGTACCCTGGGGTGTAGATTGTCCGGGCCAGCTGACTTGAAGGTATCCAGACTCTCAAGGTGTTCATTCATGAGGTCAGCATTGATGGAAGGCAGGGAATCTCCCTCATCCAGACCTCCCCGTCCTGCAGTGGGCATGGATGTCCCATGGGACTGATGAAAGAGCAAAGCAAAGTACCCAATTTAATAGGTTGGCTTTTTCCTGGGCGTCAGTTGTCCCATCTGGTTTAGCAGGGACCCAGTGTTGCCCTTGCTTTTTCTCCGGCTCCCCACATATCTGAAAAAGGACTTTTTATTGTCCTTGATACTCGAAGCTAGTTGGAGTTCAGTTGCAGCCTTGGCTTTCCTGT